GTAATAACAGTGGGAATATTGGTTTCGCTGAGGTCTAAGCGAGTCAGTAAACTGCGCCAGCGCGCCTTTAAACGTCCAAATGCACATTCTACCACCATTCTGCACTTGCTCAGCCTGTAGTTGAACAGCTCCTGACCACTGTCCAGGCTGCCTGTGTACGGCTTCATGAGCCATGGCATTAAGGGGTAGGCTGGGTCCCCAAGGATACATATAGGCATTTCAACATCCCCAACAGTTATTTTCTGGTCTGGGAATAAAGTCCCTTCCTGCAGCTTTTGAAACAGACCAGAGTTCCTGAAGATGCGAGCATCATGCACCTTTCCCGGCCATCCCACGTTGATGTTGGTGAAACGTCCCTTGTGATCCACCAGAGCTTGCAGCACTATCGAAAAGTACCCCTTGCGGTTTATGTACTCGGCGGCTTGGTGCTCCGGTGCCAAGATAGGGATATGGGTTCCGTCTATAGCCCCACCACAGTTAGGGAATCCCATTGCAGCAAAGCCATCCACTATGACCTGCACATTTCCCAGGGTCACTACCCTTGATATCAGCAGATCTTTGATTGCGTGGGCTACTTGCATCACAGCAGCCCCCACAGTAGATTTGCCCACTCCAAATTGATTCCCAACTGACCGGTAGCTGTCTGGCGTTGCAAGCTTCCACAGGGCTATCGCCACTCGCTTCTCAACTGTGAGGGCTGCTCTCATCTTGGTATTCATGCGCTTCAGGGCAGGGGAAAGCAAGTCACAAAGTTCCATGAAAGTGCCCTTACGCATGCGAAAGTTTCGCAGCCACTGGGAATCGTCCCAGACCTGCAACACTATGCGGTCCCACCAGTCTGAGCTTGTTTCCCGAGCCCAGAATCGGCGTTCCACAGCATGAACCTGCCCCATTAGCACCATGATGCATGCATTGTCAGGGCCCATGCTTTCAGAGAAATCTGTGTCCATGTCCTGATCACTCACGTGACCGCGCTGACGTCGCCTCCTCGCCCGGTATCGCGTTGCCAGGTTCTGGTGCTGCATATACTGCTGGATAATGCGTGTGGTGTTTAATGTGCTCCTAATTGCCAAAGTGAGCTGAGCGGCCTCCATGCTTGCCTTGGTATGGCGTCCGCACAGAAAAAAGGCGCGGAACGATTGTCTGCCGTTGCTCTGACGGAGGGAGGGGCGACTGACGACACGGCTTACAGGGTTGGCTTCAGGGAGCTAAAATCAACAAAGGGGGTGCCTGTACATCAAGGCGTATTTCAGGCAGGACTGCACGGAGGGTTCCAATAAGAAATGGTGCACCTAAGTTATCGTTCTTATTGGAACAAGGAGGTTAGCCTGGCCTCTGATTTATACATGGCTAGATTTACCTCGCTGCACCTTCTCTGTGAGTGACTGCAGTGTGATCTAGAGGAATGAGTCCCCTAGACAGGGGAGGAGGCAAATGAGTACAAAACAAATCTGGTCTATTTCTTGTTCTGACCCACTCCATCTATCTTTTACATCTTTGGCTGGCAGCAGATGGTGCAGAAGGACTGCATGCCATCCACATCTCATGGCTGCTCGGCAGAAGATGGTACAGTACGACTGCTAGCCATCTTCATCTCTTGCCTGCCTGGCAGAAGATGGTACAATACGACTGCTAGCAATCCTCATCTCTTGCCTGCCTGGCAGAAGATGGTACAGTACGACTGCTAGCAGTCCGTATCGCCTGCCCGCTCACCATAAGACGGTTCAATAGGACTGACTGCAGGACTAAAGAGAATGACCTGGTCAAGTCACTCCAAATTTAGTCCCTGCGCCCATGTCTGCCCAGGCGCTCCCAGCCGACGTGGCCAGGAGCACCTCGGACACGACGAGGACGACTACCAGTCGTATTGCACCGTCTGCTGCCACAAGGCAATGGGTTGCTGCTACTGTGCAGCAAAGCCGTACCGCGTCTGCCAGCACCCAGGAGACCTAGGGTGACGGTTACCTGAGCGGGCTCCATGTTTGCCGTGGTATGGCGTCTGCACAGGTAACTCAGGAAAAAAGGCGCAAAATGATTGTCTGCCCTTGCTTTCACGGACGGAGGGAGGGAACGGGGGCCTGACGACACGTACCCAGAACCACCCGCGACAATGTTTTAGCCCCATCAGAGTGCTCCATTGTGACTGCTCTGGACAGCACTCTCAGATGCCCGATTGTTTGCCATTGCTCTGACGCTGGGAGGGGTGCTTACAGGGTTGGCTTCAGGGAGCTAAAATCAACAAAGGGGGTGGCTTTACATCAAGGAGTATTTCAGGCAGGACTTCACGGAGGGTTCCAATAAGAAATGGTGCACCTAAGTTATTGTCCCTATTGGAACAAGAAGGTTAGCCTGGCCTCTGATTGATACATGGCTAGATTTACCTCACTGCACCTTCTCTGTAAGTGACTGCAGTGTGATCTAGAAGAATGAGTCCCCTAGACAGGGGAGGGGGGGGAAGCAAATGAGTACAAAACAAATCTGGTCTATTTCTTGTTTTGATCCACTCCATCTATCTTTTACATCTTTGGCTGGCAGCAGAAGGTGCAGAAGGACTGCATACCATCCACATCTCATGGCTGCTCGGCAGAAGATGGTACAGTATGACTGCTAGCAGTCCGTATCGCCTGCCCGCTCACCATAAGACGGTTCAATAGGACTGACTGCAGGACTAAAGAGAATGACCTGGTCAAGTCACTCCAAATTTAGTCCCTGCGCCCATGTCTGCCCAGGCGCTCCTGATCGACCTCACAGAGGCGACCAGGAGCACCTCAGACATGACGATGACGGCTACCAGTCATACTGTACCGTCTGCTGCCACAAGGCAAGGGGTTGCTGCTACTGTGTAGCAATGCCGTACCGCATCTGCCAGCACCCAGGAGACATAGGGTGACGGTTACCTGAGCGGGCTCCATGCTTGCCGTGGTATGGCGTCTGCACAGGTAACTCAGGAAAAAAGGCGCGAAATGATTGTCTGCCCTTGCTTTCACGGACGGAGGGAGGGAACGGGGGCCTGACGACACGTACCCAGAACCACCCGCGACAATGTTTTAGCCCCATCAGGCATTGGGATCTCAACCCAGAATTCCAATGGGCAGCGGAGACTGCGGGAACTGTGGGATAGCTACCCACAGTGCAACGCTCCGGAAGTCGACTCTAGCCTCGGTACTGTGGAAGCGCTCCGCCGAGTTAATGCACTTAGAGCATTTTCTGTGGGGACACACACACTCGAATATATAAAACCGATTTCTAAAAAACCGACTTCTATAAATTCGACCTTATTCCTCAGTGTAGACATACCCTCAGTGAACACTGAGATCTGGTCTACACAGGTTGACTCAGGGGTGGGAAAAATCCACGCTCCTGAGCAATGCAGGTTTGCTGCTTCTGTTGACCTGACTCCAGTCACTCGGGGAGGTGGAGTTTCTACACTGACGGAAAAACCCCTTCTGTTGCTGCAGTCTGTCTCTGCACAATGGGATTATGCCAGCACAGCTACGCACCGTAGCCCTGGCCTCAGAGTCAGGGAAGAGGCAGTTTACAGGGTGGGCAGCGTAGGAAGGTGGCACTGACACGTGACAGGGAGGAGTGGCCTTATAAAAACCTAGAAACCTAGACAGAGGGCCCCATGCTCCCCCACTCCCTGGGCAAGCAACACTCGGAGACATGGTACAGTGTCTCTAGTAATGCCCTCCTCCCGGTAGAGGCAGGGGAGGGGAACGAAAGGGCTGTGACCCCGCTTTGTGCCACACAGGTGGAAGCCCAGGCGGTTTGTGGCCCACCCACCACATGAGGCAAAACCTGTCCCAGCCATTTCCCCTAGCATCAATCCCCCGGCACAGACGTCCAGCTCCTAACACTTCCCTAAGCCACCCATCCCCCACCTGCCCCCAACGCTTCCCTGCCCCACCCATCCCCTGCCTGCTCCAAGGCCCCCAACACTGCCCCTTTTGCTCCTTGGCATTGACCCAAACCTTGCCTGCCACTGGCCCTGCCCCTACAACTCTCGGGCACTGATGTCCAGTCCCTAAAACTTCCTTGCACTAATACCCCCTCCTCCGCCTGCCCCTAATGGTCGCTAGCACTGCCTGCTACCTGGCCCTGCCCCTACTCAGAGGCGCTGTTAGCCCACTGGGGGTCCTAAGCACAAATAATTTTTGGGCCCCCCACAACACATACTGAAAAAGCAAATAAAGTGCTGCCTTATGCTGCCCAGGGCCCTAAGTCTTAGTCTACTTATGCCTAGCATCAGCTCTGCCCCTGCTGCTCCCTGGCACCGACCCCTGGCCTGCCTGCTCCCCGGGCTCCCTGCCACTGCCCCACCCTGCGTACCCTCCCCCCCCAAAGCTCCCCGGCACTGCCACCAATGATCCCCGACAGTGCCCTCCCACAACGCTCCCTGGCACTGCCCCACACGCTCCCTAGCACTGCTCCCACCCCACCTGCCCCCCACGCTCCCTGGCCCAGCCCCCATCCTGCCTACCCCCCACGCTCCCTGGCACTTCCCCCCACGCTCCCTGGCGCTGCTCCCACCCCACCTGCCCCCCACGCTCCCTGGCACTGTCGCCACCCCACCTGCCCCCCACGCTCCCTGGCCCTGCCCCCTATCCTGCCTGCCCCCGCCCCCGCCCCCCACGCTCCCCGCCCCCGCCCGTACCTGGCTCGCGGAGGCGGAAGCCCCTCAGGAAGGCCAGGCACTCGCCCAGCCCCGCGCTCAGGGCGAAGCCGCCCTGGCAGGGGCAGCGGCGGAAGAAGAGCTCGAACTCGGCCGGCTCCCGCTGCCGCCCGGCCCGCCAGTAGCCGTAGGCCATGCTGAACTGGTAGAGGTCGGTGAGCAGCGCCAGCGAGCCCCGCCGCCCCGGCTCCATCCCGCGCCCGGCCCCGTCGCCTGAGGGCCCCGCACGCGCGGGGCGGGCGCCGGCTGGAGCGTCACGTGGGGGCAGAGGGGCGCCTGCAGCCAATGGGAGCCGCCGCCCGCACGGGCGCCTGGGAGTTGTAGTCCGAGCGGGGCCCCGCGAGCGGGCGGGGCCCGTGGGGCGCTTGCGGGCCACCGGGGCAGCTCGCCCTTTGCCCGCCGCGGGGTGGCCCCTCCCAGGGGCCTGGGCCACGGTGCCGTGTCACCCTTCCCAGCTGGGCTTGGCCGCAGCGACCTCCTCCCCCAGGCCGGCGGCAGGACTACGCAGGGATTCGGTGCCCACCCTGCTATGGCTTGGCTCGGGGATCAGGGCCCTAAAGGTATTTGGGCTCCGGACTTCCATGGAAATCGGTGGAGCCTAAATAGGGTGACCAGGTGCCCGGTCTTCTACTGGAAAGTCCGACCGTGTCCGGTCACATCTACCGACCGGACGCCGGGAGTCCGGTTACTGTGGGTGGGAGAGGCGGGGAGGCACTGGGCCATCACCCGCACCAGCCCCTACTCAGCCAGGGCTGCTTCCTGCCTGCATCAGGTGGCTGCAGCTCCCAGCTCCGCAGGCAAGTCCCTCCCGATCTGTGCAGAGTGAGGCGGGGGATGGGGAGGGGGAGAAAGAGGAGTGAAGGCGGGGCCTCAGGGAGAAGGGGCAGGAGCAGGGCCTCTGGGGAAGAGGCAGGGGAGGGGTGAGGCCTGGGGGGAAGGGGAGGTTCCAGCACTCTTGCTGGAAGGTCTGTTTTTTAAATATTACAAAGTTGGCAACCCTAAGCCTAAATACTTTTAGGAATCTGGGCCCAGGTGCTTCCCTCACATTAGGCTCAAACCGCATCTTTCCAGGCACAGCGCACGGGACTTATGCTCCTGTTATAACTGAGAAGTTCTTACACCACATTTTTCACTGTAGGATCAGGGTGCCTTCCAGGCATGCATTAAGCAACCTGACTAACAGCTGCCACCTGTTTGTTCCTGAGTAGTTTGTTCCTGAGCTTTGAAATTCAAGTCCTCTGTTCCCCAGGGCCTGGTAAATATTATTATCTGCATTGTACAGGTGAGGAAACAAGTGAACTGCCTTATGCAATATAGGGAGTACAGGAGATATGAGAGACTGAATTCACTGCTATATATAAGTACTGAAGTTAGTAGAGTGGCTCCTGCTTATATCAGCTGTGAACTTACTGCTCACCTCTGTACAGGTATATAATTCTTCTGAGATCCTAGCAAGAACAAAGGGCAAAACTAGTGAAAGTTCTACTAAATACAGCACAAGAAATCTATACCTTCTTTGTTTCCTAGTCATACATACTAGATTTTCTTCTTTAATCAGAATGGATCAAGTTTATTAATTTTATTTAGCTAGTATCTGCGGATTCTTAAAACTGCTACTTCTGATGTTTCAGTCTTTTCAGACAAATGTTTTCCTTTGTAAATTCCCAACCAGGGTAAAAAACAAGCTTTACAGGATGATACCATTCAAAAAGCAATCCTCTGTTAGGCATACATGCCTTACTGTTCAACAGATCTTCACACATAGGGCTAGAAGAGACCATTGAACATAAGAATGGCCATAATGGGTTAGACCAATGGTCCAGTTAGCCCAGTATCCGGTCTTCTGACTGCAGCTGGTGCCAGATACTTCAGAGGGAATGAATAGAACAGGGTAATTTCTAGTTATCCATTCTGTCATCCAGTCCCAGCTTCTGCCAGTTGGTGTATTGACACCCAGTGCATGAGGTTGCATCCCTGACCATCTTGGCTAATAGGTTTTGATGGACCTATCTTCCCTGAACTTACCCAGTTCTATTCTGAACCCGTTTATACTTCAAGAAAGGAATTAGATGAGTTCACAGAGGATAGGTCCATTAATTGATGGATGAAGTGGGCTGTAGCTCACGAAAGCTTATGCTCAAATAAATTGGTTAGTCTCTAAGGTGCCACAAGTCCTCCTTTTCTTTTTGCGAATACAGACTAACATGGCTGCTACTCTGAAACCTGAGATCATCTAGTAGCCCAGCCTCCTGCATACCAGGCCATTAAGACTTCCCTGAACTAACCCCTGTTTGAACAGAAGTATCTTTTACAAAAACATGCAATTGTGATTTAAAAATTTTCAGTGGAGAGTCCACCCTGACCCGGGGTAAGGTTTTTCCTCAGCTGACCTGTTAAACATTTACATCTTATTTCCAGTCCGAGTTTGTCTAGTTTCAACTTCATAGAAACTTAGAAATGCAGAGCTGGGAGGGATGTTGAGAAGCCAAGTCCTGCCCCGCAGTGCTGAGGCAGGACCAAATACACCTAGATTAATCCTGACGGGTGTTTGTCCAACTGGTTCTCAAAACATCCAACAGGGATCCCCCACATCCTTCACTGGAAGTCATGGGAGATTAATTACCCTCATTGTTAGAATTTTTTCCCTAATATCTAACCTAAATCTTCCTTGCTGCAGATTAAGCTCATTACTTGTGGTCCGACCTTCAGTGGCCATGGAGAGCAATTGATCCCCACCCTCTGTAGAACAGCCCTGAACGCATTTGAAGACTATTATCAGGCCCCCACCCCAGTCATTTTTTCTCCAGACTAAACATGCCCAGTTTTTTACCCTTTCTTCACCGTTCAGGTTTTCTAAACCTTTGATCATTTTTGTCGCTCTCCTCCGGACTCTCCAATTTGTCCACCTCCAATTAGACACTTCTCCAGCTGAGGCCTCATCAGTACTGAGCAGAGCGGGACAATTACTGCCCCTGTCTTACATACAACCCTCCTCTTACTATGCCCCAGCATATTAGCCTTTTCCGCCACTGGATCACAACAGTCAGGTTGTGATCCATTACAACCCCCAGCTCCTTTTCAGCAGTGCCAGCGCCTAGCCAGTTATTCCCCATTGTGTAGTTGCACATTTGATTTTCCTTCCGAAGTGAAGTACTTTGCACTTGTCTTCGGTGAATTTCATCTGGTTGATTTCAGATCAATTCTCCAATTTGTCAAGCTAATTTTGAATTCTCATCTTACCCTCCAAAGTGCTTGCAGCGCTTCTCAGCTTGGCGTCATCCGCAAATGTTACAAGCGCACAGAGCTTTGTTTCAGAAGATGGAGTGTATCTGCCTTTACGTTTGAGAAGTATCACTTGGATATAAAAGAACCAGAGGAGTCCCTGCAAGGGAGAGTTTACAGTCACCACGAGGCCCTGCAGGAACTGAGACCCATCAACTGAAGTATACCTGCCTCTTATCTTCACTGCATTCTGACCCCATCCTATATATTAGCCCCCACCTCTGCTGCTTCCCAGAGCTCTCCCTGCACCTATGTCTCTTTTCTGAGCCTTCCCTGCAACTCCCTTGCCAGAGCTCGATAGGAGCATTGAGTAAGACTGTCATTCATTCAGTGGATCATGATGATACCTGCTGAGTAACACAAATGTATCCATCATTGGTCAGATCGGTTTCCACAACTGGATTTCAGTGCAGAATTGCATCCCGAAGTAAAAGAGACGAGCATCCACACACCCTTCCCAAAGCTGCCCTCCGCAGCGAACTTTGCTTTCAAATACACAAGCTCTCCAGCAAAAACAAACATGAAGCCAAGAGGTGTTGAACACCCCCATTCCCACCCACACTGAAATCAATAGATGCAGGTGTTTGGCACCTGTCAGGATGGGGCCCTTCATTAAATACAGCAGCTATAAAATTTCCCAAGAGCCTGACACACCTCCATGGCAAGCTCAACAGGACGTGCTCATTTAGGTAACAGAGAAACTACATTTATGAAGTTTGCGGACGATACCAAGCTGGGAGGGGTTGCAAGCGCGTTGGAGAACAGGATTAGAATTCAAAATGGTCTCAACAAACTGGAGAAATGGTCTGAAGTAAGTAGGATGAAATTCAGTATGGAGAAATGCAAAGTACTATGCTTAGGAAGGAACAATCAGTTGCACAGATATAAAATGGGAAATGACTGCCTAAGAAGGAGTACGGCAGAAAAAGATCGGAGGGTTACCGTGGATCATCAACTATATATGAATCCATGTAACACTGTTGCAAAAAAAAGCAAACATCATTCTGGGATGTATTAGCAGGAGTGTTATAAGCAAGACATGAGAAGTAATTCTTCCTCTCTACTCAGCCCTGGTAAGGCCTCAGCTTGAGTATTGCATCTAGTTCTGGGCACCACACTTTGGGAAAGATGTGAACAAATGGAAAAAGTCCAGAGACGAGCAACAAAAATGATTAAAGGTCTAGAAAACTCTATGAGGAGAGACTGAAAATATTGGTTTGTCTAGTATGGAAGAGAGAAAACGGAGAGGGGACATGATAAGTCTTTATATAAACGGCTGTTATAAAGAGAGCGGTGACAAATTGTTCTCCTTAATTATGGAGGACAGGACAAGAAGTAATGGGTTTAATCTGCTGCAAGGGAGACTTAGATTAGACCTTCCTCACTGTAAGGGAAGTTAAGCACTGGAACAAGTTACCTAGGGAGGTTGTGGAATCTCCATCAGTGGAAGTTTTTAAAGAATCAGTTAAACATCTGTCAGGGATGGTCTAGATAATACTTAGTCCTGCCTCAGTGCAGGGGACTGGACTAGATGATCTATCGAGGTCCCTTCCAGACCTACATTTCTACAAAATCCTTTTGGTTCTGCTGTGTCGGTACAGGGGTAAATTAACTGCATAGGAATTATGAGGATGTCCCAAGAGAAGGCTTTAAGAAGTTTTTTTTTTAATATACCAGCACTGCTTAGAGGTTAGGCTAACTATTTCAACTGATAAAATTACTTCTCAATAAGAATGGCCATTCTAGGTTAGATCAAAGGTCCATCTAGCCTCATATCCTGTCTTCCGACAGCGGCCAATGCCAGGTGTCCCAGAGAGAATGAACAGAACAGGTCATAGAATCATAGAATATCAGGGTTGGAAGGGACCTCAGGAGGTCATCTAGTCCAACCCCCTGCTCAAAAGCAGGACCCATCCCCAATTAAATCATCCCAGCCAGGGCTTTGTCAAGCCTGACCTTAAAAACTTCTAGGGAAGGAGATTCCACCACCTCCCTAGGCAACGCATTCCAGTGTTTCACCACCCTCCTAGTGAAAAAGTTTTTCCTAATATCCAACCTAAACCTCCCCCACTGCAACTTGAGACCATTACTCCTTGTCCTGTCCTCTTCCACCACTGAGAATAGTCTAGAACCATCCTCTCTGGAACTACCTCTCAAGTAGTTGAAAGCAGCTATCAAATACCCCCTCATTCTTATCTTCCTCAGACTAAACAATCCCAGTTCCCTCAGCCTCTCCTCATAACTCATGTGTTCCAGACCCCTAATCATTTTTGTTGCCCTTCGCTGGACTCTCTCCAATTTATCCACATCCTTCTTGTGGGGCCCAAAACTGGACACAGTACTCCAGATGAGGCCTCACCAATGTTGAATAGAGGGGGACGATCACGTCCCTCGATCTGCTCGCTATGCCCCTACTTATACATCCCAAAATGCCATTGGCCTTCTTGGCAACAAGGGCACACTGCCGACTCATATCCAGCTTCTCGTCCACTGTCACCCCTAGGTCCTTTTCCGCAGAACTGCTGCCTAGCCATTCGGTCCCTAGTCTGTAGCGGTGCATTAGGTTCTTCCGTCCTAAGTGCAGGACCCTGCACTTATCCTTATTGAACCTCATCAGATTTCTTTTGGCCCAATCCTCCAATTTGTCTAGGTCCCTCTGTATCCTATCCCTGCCCTCCAGCATATCTACCACTCCTCCCAGTTTAGTATCATCCGCAAATTTGCTGAGAGTGCAATCCACACCATCCTCCAGATCATTTATGAAGATATTGAACAAAACCGGCCCCAGGACCGACCCCTGGGGCACTCCACTTGACACTGGCTGCCAACTAGGCATGGAGCCATTGATCACTACCCATTGAGCCCGACAATCTAGCCAACTTTCTACCCACCTTGTAGTGCAATCATCCAGCCCATACTTCTTTAACTTGCTGACAAGAATACTGTGGGAGACCGTGTCAAAAGCTTTGCTAAAGTCAAGATACAATACATCCACTGCTT